AGGGCGTCGTGACGATCTTGTTAACTATCGCTGCCGAGCCTGAGAATAATCTCAATTTTGCATATCGGAGACACGAGTTCCTTAGTGTCTTTATTTGCCGAGGAGGGTCTTGAAAGTCGCTCGGTTTCATTCATTACTGATTTCAGCTGAGTAATTACCGATGATAGGATAGTTAACATCCGAAGAGACATATCGAGAAATGCAAGTATCGTAGTACAAAGTTTTATAAAGAGTTCACGAGAAATTTGAGGAATTCAATAGAACTTTCGAATCCTTCGAACATTGTCAACGTTCTTCGTCGACGAGTTTCCATCTTCTGCAGTTAAATTTCTTCGCAGTCGATTAAAAACTCCCCTTTCGTCAAGTTCGATAATCACAGGACTACGTTTCGCATCTGAGGTGTTCTCTAAATGTTTGAAAGAATATTCAAAACGATGCCCCTAACGCCATCAATTAGAGGAGGAACAACAGGAATACTTTGAAATTCAATTGGGAGGGTGCATATCAAAGTGTACGGACACGTCGCGAGGGTATCGGAATCGGCGTGGTAGTACCGAAAACATTGCCGGGGCAAGGTCGGGGAACGTATCGAGGAGGGCCTGAGACCCTTCGTTTTTTAATATCGCTCTCTTCTCGCAAGGTTTTATTTAATGGCGAAGGCGGTAACCGCGCAAAGGCCAGCCGACCAATGGGAGCCCGGCTGGAAATCATACGCGGGATCGCCGGCCGCACGGCGGCCTCCGAGAGTGGAGGTGAAGTTAGGTTAGGTGAGGTTATGTTCGCTCCCCGCGTCTCCTTAACATTCGACGGGCCTGTCCCGGCACGGCATCGCTCTCGCAAGAGGTGGGGCTCCGTCTCTTCGATCGGCGTCAGGCATTTCTTCTTCTTCTTCGTCTTCTACTTCTTCCTCCTCCTCTACCTTATACCTCTTTTTTTCTGCCTACACTTTTTCAGCAACGTTCTCCATCTCCTCCTCCTTTTCTTCTTCTTCTACTTCTTCATCTTCTTTGCCTGCTTCTTCCTCTACTTCTTCTTCTTCTTCTTCTTCTTCTTCTTCTTCTTCTTCTTCTTCTTCTTCTTCTTCTTCTTCTTCTTCTTCTTCTTCTTCTTCTTTTTCCTCTTCTTCTTCTTTCATAGCCTCCTTCGCCCTTCCAATGCACACCACGAAGGGTATATACCTTCACTATACTTAGCATTGCCTTCATTTTAGGATGAGAACGCCACGTGAAGCATCGTGATAAGCAAACCGCTATCGCGAATACAAATGAGAAAGGCCGGGGGTGGCAACGGTGCCTATCGGGCCTGGGTATCTTTAGCCGTAGTATGTCAGCTCGGTATTAATAGTTTCCATCATCAATAGTCTGCCGGGAAATGCCTGGTAACCACGGGCTACCACATTCTTCGCTTTTGATGGATGGCGTCAATTTTCGTCTTGAACCCGTCGATTTCGGCTCGATCCACGCCTTATCGGGATTTCGCTCTTCGCCAGACCTGGCATATATTCTAATGAAGACCAAACTGTCTTGAAGGAAGTCGGAAGCTCGAACCATTCATCTCGAACTTAAAATTCAGAATTGAAAGTCGGTTCGTGGATGCTTAGCGGTTACAGATCCGTTTCCTGCACGTCGAATTTAAATGAATTGAAAGTCTAATCGTTGAGTAGACGAGTTTGAATGTCGGATAACAATAAAGTATCTTCGATTAATTAAAATTCGTGTCTAGAGTCGATTTCTCAGGAAAACACAGGGTTTAAAGGACCCCGGCGCTTCGTGACGCGTCCGCCATTTTGGTTTCGCCGGAACGTGACGCGAAGAGCGATCGAAAGTTCCGATAGGGCCGACGTGTAATCGTCGATATTCGATTGATTTATCAGTTTCAATTGTCGAACGAAGGCAACAACTGTCCCGGCTATCAAATATTTCCAACCGGTCGCTGGTTGCGCCGACATTACCGTTGGCTCGGATTTTCGCTCCGCAGTCGCTGCTCCTGTCCTAATAATCGGGTTATCGGGCATCGATACGCCGAGAACTCTAATTACATTCTTCTGTGTTACTGCTTAACCGTGCTGCGCGCAATACCCTTCTCTTCTGTCAATACCGAACAAAGCGTTTCGCAATTCCTTTCGAGTACAAGAAATTACGGGGTACGTTCGAAGACGTGGGAAGTGGAGGAGCTCCTTGAAGACCAAGAAACTCGTTGGATTGTCGATGCTACGGATCCGTCGATTACAGATAATTAGCGATGCCGCACGAATGGATAACTCTCTTCTATTTTATTTAAAAAAGATTTTTAAAACGGAGGGGTTGGAGAAGAAAGGGAACGAAAGGAAAAGGAACGAAGACGAAGTTAAATTCAATATCCTATACACTGTAGATCCGATTTCACTTGAAACGACTCGTGGGAACGATCCGGTACACAACGTCCACGGCCGCGTCGTATTATTTAATCTTATTCGAGGAAAAGTTGTCGATCTCACGAGGATACCTCGTTTAAATAATAAATACAAAAAAGTTTGTTGTACACGGCTGACAGATTTCTCCGCGGGATCGCGTGATCCTGTCGTCCGCTCCGGATTAACAATCACGTGACAATGCGTTCCTCGCGTGCCCCATCCCGGCTCCGGATTAATCCGCAATCTATACATGGAACGTCGCGTTGATATCGTTAATTATTAATCACCTACATGATCGTTAACCGCGTTAATCAACGTGATACGGCCATCACGATCTAGCCGAACATCGCAAAGATCTGTTCATGTAGGTATTCAGATTCCGTGTTTGATCGTTCTTTCCAATACGCTTGGCTCACTTTTCTGGAGTTTTTTCTAACGAGTTTCATCGTGTTTCGCGCACGGTTTTCCGAGCGACATCGACTTCTTTCTTTGCGAATTTTTTGCCGGTGGAACACCGCTTATTGTGCGAAAGGAGAGTTGAATGATGATCAAGGATTCATGGGTTGAAATGAGTGACGTTCCCGGTGATTTTTGTCGGGTCGCGAGAGGAAAGCCGGAGAAAGAAAGAGAGGAAAGCAGCCACTGATGCAGCCGCGCGCCTTCGTTGATTCTTGCGTGTATTGATCGATGGTGACCGTAATTTTCAGATCGCGTGCCACATCACCTGCCAACCTTCCTTTCCAATGCAAACCAATGTTATCGGGACGCGGCGCGCGTTTTTCCTCAAACCCCGTACACTTTATTTTTCACGCGGGCACGAGCCGCGTGTTCCGCACAGTCAGCGATATAAGAAACCGATTAGCGCTTGTTTGTAAGTTCACGACCAATTAATTTTATTTTTCGCCGTGTACACAACTCGTCGCGACTCCGTCGAGACGGGCATGGAAAAGAAAATTAAATCGATGAACCGTGTCAGCGTTTATAGCGTCACATATTAATGAACCCGATTACATCGATTGGATCTAATTGCCGAGTCGATCTAGAACGTGAAAGTATTCGCACGGAACGTAAAATAAAAGTTGTTATTGGTAGCTAGCCTAATGCTGGACGGGAAGCTTCGAGGATCGATCTCCTCGTCACGGGGTTTCGAGAGAGACTATTCCATTGTATCTTCTTTAATCATTTCTTCGTGTACAATCACCCCTTTCAGCCCTGCCGCCGGTTACAGCATATTTTATACATAATTGGCTGCGCGATTTTATCTCCGCCGATGTAACTCCGTTGGTCCTTTAATTCAAACCGAGGGCATGCCTTGTGTTCCGTTCATTCGGAAAATACACGGTGACCGGCAATCACGTTTCCGTGTTCTTTTCAGTTGCAGGTGCAGCGGCGACCCAGGGACAGGGGAAAAAAGAGAACGAGAACCTTGAACCAATCGTAAATGGCGTGGAGTGAAAGCGGTCGAGTCCCCGCGGTTTTCCCAGAAGAGCGCGAGCCACGAAATTATCGACCAGTAAATCGGAACGAAGGATCTCTCGTTTTCTTTGCCTAGCGGATCGCCTCGCGCGCAGAAACGTAACGGTGTATATATACCCGCGCATCCACGGAAAAAAGAAACACGGATTGATAATTGTGATCTCGTAAGTCTCAAGGGGAAAAAAAAGAGCGTACGAAAGATGCCAGTCCCTTTTGTGGCATTTTATCGATCGGTATTAAAATACTTGATGGTCGGCCGGAATGGTTAAGCGTACCGTTCGCTTCGACAATTTGCCAGATTATGAACGAAGATACACAGGAACGACGCTTAGCGCCGCATTATCCTAACGACTTCCAGGTTACTTCGGATACGTCGACTTGAAGATTCCCATCGGGTGTATCCTTGGGCTACGCGCACGGTGATTGATGGAACCCCGATGTTTTCCGTTGCAACCCTCGTGTGACGAATGCGGGGTCATTTTGATCCAACGGTAATAATAAAATCTCAGAAACAGCATTACTTTTCTATCAACCCAATGTCTCCGTGCACATCCCTAATCATCCTTATCGCAATTAGAACATTTGTATTACGTCGCTGACCGAAGCATCGAAGATACTTCAGGCGATGAATAATGATTCCATAGCAACGCTTCTTCATTTTATATAAGCTAACTATAAGGAAAATACAAGAAAGATAAAGGGAAAGTGAGAAAGTCAACGGACAACGCGTTGCCAAGAGAAATAGCAACGTGTCATTATCCACAATACCGTCGTATATATTTCCCATCATCCTCAGCACCCTTAAACCATTTATATTATCAAGCCTGCGACGATTGCCAGGGGGTGGTAGGAGAAAGTCGAAGGTGAACGGCGTCAAATCGTCGCATGCCCGACGAAAAGACGATCGGAGCTGGGGAAACGGCAGAAATATCGCTGGAAACCAGGACGAGGCGGCGGAAGGAGAGGCACGAGGACGACAGAATAAAACGGACAGGGGCGGGGGATTGGGGTAGGGCGCGCGGCAATCGTAGAAACGGGCGCAATGCCACAAGAAACTGACTAACTGGTAATTAGCATATTTCCAGAATATTTCGGCAGCACGCGATGTTCCGGTAACTCGCTCCGAAAATGCTCCCCATCGCTCGGATTCCAGCGAAATGGGCCTCGGCGAATGCACATTATAACGACGTCACACGATTCCATTTCTGACGATCGAAAGATTATGTTCTCCGTCGGGAATCGCTCGAGTGTAGAGATTTCATTTATTTCCCCCTTAACCCTCATCTGCCCCGGCGAACACGTTCCCCGGGCATCTTCCTCGATCCTTTCCGCTCTCGAGGGATAATTCTCCCCCTCCTCACCCCCTGTCCCACGGTTTCCCTTATCGTAACAATCGATCTTGCGAAACCAGTCAAGGTCGATATTCTAACCGGTCATTCGCGGAATAATCATTCTTTCACCGACGGTGGCCGATTATCCGTGTCGGTAATTGAGCTTAATTGGGCATCGATCTATACGATCTACAGGAGAGGCACAGCGTCGGCGACGATTCAACGGCGGTTGCGCGCGCGCGGCCCTCCGAAGGGGGCCACTGGGTCCGGCGACAGAGAAAGACCGATCGTTTGTACCATGGCGCGATTATTACATCGCTAATGACACGATGACTCAATTAGAAGGCAACGTGCAATCGGAATTCAGGCGCCTCTCTCGTGATTCGCGTCCCCCTCCCTCACCCCTACGCCCATTCACGGTCCACGCGGCCCAGCAACGGCACGATATCATTTCATATTTGGCATATCCTGGACGAACGCGGGCCGAACGTGGGCCGCGCCGCGCCGCGCGGAGGAGAAACCTGTCACGAATCCGGCGAACGCAGATCGTATCTGGCGTTATTGTCCCCCTCCGTTATTAGGATGATTAACGGTACTCCCGGGTAATCGAGCCACGGGTATTGTCCCGTCGCGGTGTCACCGTCGAGTCCCGTCCTGGTTCCTGCGCGAGGCGCGACTCTTGGATGGAGTCCTTTCTAATAGGCGTTGTCGTGAATTTGTCGCTCCTCTTAGTGTCCCTTGGACGCAATCTTCACCCGTGAAACGGGGATTTAATTGATAATGCGTTTCGAAGAATCTAACCGACGAATGTTTCGCAGTAGATATTTTCTTTGTAAAGCGGTCGTATGAATTTCTAACGATTCTCTTTATGCTCGAAGGTAGCTAAGTAGGTGTGTTTTATTTCTGTGAAAACAATATTTGTCGATACGATTAACAAGAACAAAGCGAACAACCATTGACTTCATTTTTATCTTGCTTCCAATAAAAAGTGCTCCGATTTTTGTCTGCCTACATCCTTCCACCGCGTTAGTAGATTCGTTTATTTTGGTCAGACGATATTGTCTGTTAATGAATTGTTTTTACCGATGCCGGATCGTTATTTGATCCCCGTCGGTCTCATCTCCCGCGGGCTTGGCGGATCATTAGCCGTCTTCCGGTTCCGCAGCGGGCCGACACAAGCAGGACAAAACACTATAAACCATATTAAGCAGGCCCATAAAATTCACCCTTACGCGCGCGTACACGAGCGGCTTGATTTCAAATCCCGGGAAGGATCATGGATCAGCGCTCCCTTTTACCGCGACACGGACCGGCGTGTGTCGTATATATTTATTGAGACAATAAAACGCAATTATGGCCGCCGCATAAACGACTAACTAACCAGGATTTTTCGAACGGCCTTCCTCGCCGCTCTTCCTTTCGCCGGAAGACCGGGAACATCGTCTCGGAGCAGTCCCCGTTGGCTCCACGGGCGTAAATCATTATAAAATTGGAAGAAGAAGTCATCTGTAGTGCGACCGTGTGCTAGCGAACCGCGTGGAACACTTACGAGATGTCTACAGGCCGCAGGAAGCAGAAAATTCATGGGAAAATATACTTTTCATCGATGTATATGTGAACGAATGTATTCGAACGAGATCAATGATATTTTATTAATTTACTGTTGATTTATAATTAATCCCTTGACGTTTGAAACTGTTGGGTATGTCAAGAACGTTTTGAGAATCGTGTCGAGTTAATGATTAATTAATTATTGGTATATGGAGGATAGATTGATTATCCGTTATTTGTTCTTTCCACTGTCTGAAAACAATCGAAATATATTTCTGCTGTTACGAACGTTCCTCGTTACCGTTTATCGTCGTTACAGCAACGAGACGGACGAATCAAATCCCAGTCTAACGACGAGCTTGTTCGAGTGACCGTGAGTCCGGCAGCTTCGGCCAACGGATTTAATGATTATTACCGCGGCGATGATTGCTCCATAAAACAACATATTGCTGTACCTGGAACTCCGCGGCGATGAAACTTCGGCTAGCTCGTGCAACCTCCGGCCCGATAATGGTGCTGCCCTCGTTTCCGGTTGTTCTGTATACCGGTTGCTCGAACATAAACGTAAAATCGTCGTGATTCGACCACTCCGATGCACGGGCAACGCTGGAAAACCGGCCGGAGGTGTGACTCGAGCAATCGTAAAAACACCTGGACCATTCTGACCCCTGAATTTCAAAATAACGCTTCCAACTAAACTCTTAAGAATCCATTCCGCGGCGATCCAGTTCGAATTCGAGAATTTTACGCAAACAACCGGAATTTACGATCGTTCCCCTTGTGTATTTAACGAATTCCAGCTCGTTCGTTTCGACAGTTACGCTTTCACGGGGAAGGCGTATCGATGGAAACTATTCTACGGATACAAGGCTATCGACTGTTAAGTCGATTATAGTAAATAGTAGATACGATATCATCGATGGGATAAAATTCTAAGCAGCTCGACGATGCGAGGCTGTTATAGGGACGGAAGCCGGTAATTCCGAGGCTGGTATTATTATTTTCTCTCGGCACAGTTTACTCACTGTTTTCATTTCGTGTAAAGTGAAACGTTTCCCAGAGGGTGCTGTAAATTTCCTAATAACGGTGGAGCCTGTTTCCGAGAATCACGGCGTTCTGCTTCGGATGAACTTCAGGGTGTGTTGAACGCGACGGTTCCGCGGGAACGGCGCGCAATGGCTGCTCGCGGTTTCGAATACATTTTTCATTTTTCGCTCGCAACGGTCTCGGCCCTCGCGTTAGTCAACCGGCAGCGTGGCAGGGTCGTATCGCGTGTAAACGCGGAGCCGTATATATTCAATTAATTCAGGGCGGATGTTGTAGGCCGGCGATACAGCGCAAGGGTCGATCCTCATTCTCGAAACAGTAACCGTGTAGATGATGATGCTAATTAATGGGAGCGAACACTGAAACTACGAGCTTAGACACAATGTAGATAAAAACTTTGCTGCTCGAGGATCTTGCATCGATGCAAATTCAACAGTTGATGGAGACAATTAATTATTTGATATCGGATTACTCGACGTTAGTCTTCTTGGATGTTGTAACTGTTGCCAAACAATTCGGTAGTGTTATCGGTTACCACAGCAGTATCGAAGATTGCTTCTAATCCCTCGTATTCAGGAACTTTTCATTAAAATTTTCACGTCGGCGCAGCCGCGTATAACAGTAATTCAAACTGGCGGCAGTGACCTTTCATCGAAACCACAGCAAAACATAGAAGAACGTTGCTCGCGTATGATTTCCTAGCGGTACACGGTTTTTCCCAGCTGTATTTCGTTATTACGATTATCTTCTTCCGCAAGAACGCGCGCGAGGGAATGGTTTGATATAGTTGGGCCTCGTGGCGATCGGTTTATCGTTGAAAAAGTGTATCGATAATAAACGATTAGTTCTCGGGCAGGAATCGTCCGTAATTCGAGGCGCGAGCAGAGGCTTCCGGTCGTGAATCTATCGATCCGCCGAACGATTGATAATATTTACCAAAGTGTTTCGCGGCGCGCAATGCCCATAATAGGCGTGCATCGTCACGGCAGCTCCAGAACCGGCTATTACACAACGCGCAATAATTAACTAAATAAGCGGCGTAAACGTGCTACTTTTCTAATCTCCTCTATAGTCACTTTATGCCCACATTTTGTCGATGAGAGTCAATTAGAAGTTCGTTATTCCTTATCTTAATTATACTAACGCGCCGCTAGTTCGAACAATGTTGCACGGTCGCGCACCCGTAGGTACCTACGCTTCGTA